ATTCCGAAAGAAGACATTTATTGTCGATCAATTGTTGTATTAGCCACATTCCAAATTTGGAAAGATCCCTGACTGTAGTAGGATTAGGAGAAGCACAAGTCCTCAACATTCTTCTGATGCTATAATTTCTCAGGCATTCACACGACCAGGCTTTCTTTAATTCATTTAGGAAATTTAAAAAATATCCCTATAAGGAGTCTACTATAGATTATTTAAAAGATAAAACATGCATGTTTTTAATCGATCATTTTCATTAAATTTTTAAAAATTTGGGGAAAAGTAAAAAGATTAAAAAAAATGAATATCATTTTGAAACATTAAACCAGAAAGTAAAATTAAAATGCTTACCAGCCGGATATCATACATCTAAACCACCATCTAATAATATATGTGATTATTGTAATCGTAAATTTAAAACACCAGATGAAGAAGAAGGTATAATGTTGATATGTGGTCATGCTTTTCATCATAAATGTCTTGCTGAGAAAAATAACAGATGCAATTATTGTTTAGAGTTTTATAAAAGAGGTGTTGTCTCTAACGTGAATTCCTATAAAAAAGATTAGAAAAAAATGATAATGTTAATAATAATTTATTAAACAATGAAACATTAAATGATGAAAATGGTGATGATGATGATGAATATGAAATGATGGAAGAACAAATTTCTATAGAATTTAATAATGCTTTAAAATTAATAAAAACTTGGTAGAATTTAAAAAAAAAAATTGCATTTCAAATATATTATGTTACGCTAAACGTTAAGACCTTGAATATTTCATTTCTCATCTAGTTTTCGATAGGACCAAGATCTGAGGATCTTATTCTGCCCAAACGTAAAGAAAAGAATAAATAATCTAGCAATGTAAAAAAATAATATACAAGATACATCAGTTTTTTTGTACTGATATCCCTTTTTTTTTACCTTAAAATAATTGAAAATTTATGTTTCACAATATAAAAAAGATCAATGTTCAATTTTGTCACTATGTGATAAATAGGTTGTACATTATGCTGCCTTATATTTTTTCTCATTTGTTTGGTATTTTGAATCAGCAAATTCTGAGATAGTTGATATCTGATCTAGAGTCCAAATTCTGTAGCAACAATTCAAAAAAAAAGGTATTTTGAGTATAACACCAAGTTTTATACACTTCCTGCTAAATTAAGTAATATAGTGACTCAAACCCTAACACCTATTGGGTTGATCAAACTCTAGCTGAATCCTGGTGTAAAGGCAGTTTCCAAATTCCTCAGATTGAGACTACTCCTTCCATCAATGACTTAAAGAGAGAAAGCTATAGTAAAGTATTCCATTACAAATATATTTTATAAAAAAAAAATAAAGTGCACCAAATTATACTTAACTTTTATATAAAATTATCCAGGTCAAAATAATATAAATGATAATGGGAGTAAGAGCGAAGGAGTTAAAATTTTATTCTGCATTTCACAATAGTGTATATTGATTACTCATCAAATAAATTATTGCATTGCATTGATAATAAATAATCCAAATAGTATATACCCATAAGATAGACCTATTGAGGATGGAACTAAACATGTCTTTAATTAATGGTTATTAAATTTTAACAAATAAAGAACCACAGTTTCCAATAAGTTACCGCCTTATGGCCGCATAACAAATAAAAAACTGTCATAGAACTTAGCTCGCCTTATGGCCGCAGCGTTGTTCCGTTTTACCTGTCTAACCTTATCGCAAAGAGGCTATCCGCCTTATGGCCGCAATAGCATTTGACATATAAGGTACACCAGAGGAACTATATCGCCTTATGGCCGCACATAGCTCGTGAGTGTGCAGCTCTGGCCTCCTCGCCTTATGGCCGCAGGAGGGAACAGAACTGAGATGAATATGCGCTAAATAAAAACATAATCAAATTTTCTTGTCCAGAAAAATATTTTGTTGCAATGATGATGTTTGATTAAATAATATTGTATCCTGATATGACTATTAAATAGATTGAAAAAAATTTTCTGTGAAAGTCTTCTTTTTGTATATCAAAGGTTGCTGCATCCTCAACTCTATTATCTTGATGAATAAACATCCTGTTATCATTCACACGTATACACGTTAATCATCAGTTACGAAAACATAAAAATAACACTTTTAAACAAATCTTTTAACTTAACTTTTTCTCATGCGGAGCAAGATATAATAAATCAAATTTGTGTGGTGCATTCATCTTGACTTTAGATTTATTTTTTTATTGTTATTATTATTAGTAAAGAAATAAAAATTTAGTGTTCCATTTCAGGGGTGGAAAGTTTAAAATAACTAGGTACCTTGGTTTCCATCACCCAATAAAATAACCTAATTAATCATGTGGTGCTTTTTATCTTGCTTTGCTTTTACTTTTTTCTGCACAAAAAAATAGCAAAGAATGTCAAAAGAATCACGTCCACATTTAATTATCGATAAAAATACAGCACCTTTTACGCCGCCACCTAATATACACCCAGCATTAGCAGAAACAAACATAAAATATTGGTCCTACCAGCATTTTGTGCTGCAAGTAATTTTGTTGAAAATTCCTGTGAACTCTGTAGGCGATGTAGAACAAGCATGGATTGACTCGTTAAAGTCGTTAGCACCAAGAAAAGATATGGATAAAAAATATAGATGCTTCATCAAAAAATTGATTGATTATCAGGTATTATAATTTAGATAAGTGATCAACTCAAAGTGTATGATTTAAGTTTTTTACTGAATTTTTTTCTTAGACTTTCGAAAAACTAGATTCTGGTACGGAATTTGTTTTAAGTCGCTATATTAACTCACAAATGCAATTAAAAATTGGTTCTACTATTAACGATATTTACCATGTTAAAACATTTGTCAAAAGAATTGTCAAATGCAATTCAATGGAAGCCGGTGCCACCTCCGCCAAATATTCAGGAATACTTTAACAGCAACTGTAGTACTAATTTAAGTAATGAAAATAAAAAATTTAACGCTAACATTCAATATATGTAAGTATCAATGGTTTAATGTTAATTCATCTACAAAAATTCTAGGATAATTTATTTTTATTTTCATATCCAGAATTGCAAACATTGATGTTTTTAAAAGAAGTGTGACTGAAGAAGTTCTCAAAATGACAACAATGTATCCTTTTTACCATGCCGTTATCAATAGTGATTTTTTATTAGATAGGTGGTGAGTTACTTTGCATTAAATTTTATGTAAAAAAAATATTAAATAAATATATTGAAAATTTATGTCTTAAATTTATGTCTTATTTATAGGGGTGAAATTCAATCATATTCAACAAAAGAAGCACAAAATGAAGATGCTAACCCATTTCAAAAAGCTAGAATTGGCAGAAAAGTAGATATGGTTGGCAACCTTAAAGAGACGTCATTCAAGGTTGAAGCTTTATTCGGGGAAGTTTCTGGTGGATTGGGTCCTTTTGGTCTTCCTGCTGCGACGAGAAAAAACCATTTTTTTGACAAAATAAAATTATCCATAATGTTGAGAGATTCTCTTAACTCAGTAATTAAAAAATGGCGGAATCTCAATGATGATCTGAGAAAATCTGTGGTATTATATGGTTGGACTCAACATGGTATGTTTATTTTAAAGGCACTTATCACTTTTATTGATAACTTATGTAATTGTTCTTAATACAGGACTTGAAATAAATGTTTACACTTTAAAATGGGAAGGCAATGGTATCTATCTATTTGGGTTGGTCGATAAAGGTACTCTACCATCATCTAAGAATGAATGCGGACTTTTTGAAGATTTATATTGTATTTTTAAAGAATTAGAAGTATGTACATTTATTCTATCATTATTAATTAACAATTTATAAATGCATAACTAATTCAATTTTTTATAGAGAAAATTAAAGAAAACTGAAGAAAATATCAAAAATTTAAATTTATTAAATGTAAGAAGTAAAAGGAGGAATTTAGGTGTAGAGAGCACACCTGAACTCAACTTAAATAGAACACCAAACTAGTTCTTGATTATTAGTTAGCTGTTTGGAGGCTTTAATTTCTATTATCATTGCATTATTATTCTTGGCAGTTTATTGTCATTGATAAAGATTTTTAATACTGTATCACAAACTATTTTTTTGCATCTTCGGAAGAGTAAAATCTTAAATAGGAAATTGATTTTTTAACTTGTGAGAATGAATATACTGACATCTAAATAGTAAAAGAGATTTAAATTATTAAATTATTATTATTTGAGTTGTGTATCAGAAAATTTACAAATTTTAAACCGCTGTAACCAATAATTTCAGAGAAAAGAAAAAAAATCTTAAAACAAAATCCTTATTCAATTGTATCAATTATTTTAATGGAATTTGTTAGAAAATTTTGAAAGATGCAATTTGTAAATTTTTTGCTGCGCATGTTCACTATCAACCAAAATAACAAAAATTGAGGGGTTATTTACTTCTATTAATATTAATATTAAGCAGAGTTATACACTGCACGTAAACATCCATTCTCTTATTATTATTTAAAAGATTATATTTTTATTTAAGGGTAGAGTGTAGGTAACACGAATTTCACTATGATACTGTTGATAGAAAAAATTACGTAACACTCTGAGTTGTTAGCCTCATACATAAGTGTTCCAAAAACTAATTTTTGTGAGATGTTTACT